GCCGCCTCCAGTTCGGCCACGGACTCGCGAAGGGAGTTCCTCTCCACGTTCAGGGCATCACGCTCCCGGGTCAAGGCGTCCTCTCTCTCGCGGAACGCCTTCTCCTCCTCCGCCTTCGCCTCCAGCCGCGCGGCATAATCGGAGGCCTTCTTCTGCGCCTCCTCGCAGGCCGAGCTCAGCTCGTCCCGTTGCTTGTTCGCGGCCTCCAGGTCTGCTTGGAGGCGCACAGCGGTGATCTCAGCGTCCGTGCCCTGGCGCCTGATCTTGTCCACCTCGCGGGCGTTGGCTTCGCACAGGAGCATCATCTGAAAAGCAGAGCGCATTGGAAGGAGTTAGAGGAATTCACGCAACTAGGAACGGGAATGGGGCAGCGTAAAAGGAAACTTACTTGCGCAGTCAGATTGGTCATCTTGCGCCAGGGCTTGTCGGACGCAAGGTTGGCCGGGTGCTCGACCACGTCGTATTGGGAGCGCGCCCATTGAACGGAGGCGCCTGGGTCCTTCGCCGCCTTCACTGGCACGCCCACGGCAACCTTAGTGAGGGGGCGCCTGGGAGGCTGAAGGTAAGGAGGAATCTCCTCGCCGGTGTGTGGCCCGATGGTGGGCGCTACAAAGCTGGGGGGGAGCCCCGAGGCGCCCGCCGGCGACTCCTTCGCCCGTTTGGCGGGAGGAGCTCGATCGTCCCCGGACCTCTTTCGAGGCGCATGTCGCGGGGATGGACGTGAGACCTCCTCCCCACCAGCCTGATGCGCTGTCTGCGAGGAGGGAGATACTGGAGACTGGGGGCGCCCCAGCTCGGTCGGACTCGCGTGGGGGCTGCCTTGGCCAGAGCCTGCGCTCGCGGCCGGTGAGTTACCGCGCGCCTCACCGGAAGCGCCCGAAGTGGGGGGGGGAGGCAGCAGCCTTCCCCTTGGATTTGATGCGAATGGTCCGCCTCGGAGGCGCAGAGGCGGAAGGCCGGGGCGAGGTAGGCGCCGAGTTGGTCGGCGAGGCGCCCTGGCCGATCCCCAGACGGGATCGAATGATGGAGGACACCGAGGTGTAGTCAGTGCCTGCGAAAGGGGAAAATGGAGGTAACAATTAGCAAGGCAGTAAGGTGCGCCTAAATAAAAAAAAAAAAAAAAAAAAAAAAGAGAGCGCATGGGAAGAATAGACGGAGCGCTCGCGCTTGAGTACCATCTTGATAGAAATCCGCCAAGAGCTGCACGTACGCGTCATCGTCCCTCAGGTCGAATGGCTCCTCGGAAAGGCGCTCAGCGCTGGCCAGCTCCGCCTCATTCAAGGAGGCAGGTTTATTGAAGTACTTGGGCGTCCCAAGCGCCCACCGTGTCAAGGCGGGACGCCCGCTCGCGAAGAAAGGCGTTTCACGAGGGCAAGCAAAAAAGTAGGAATCAAACCACGTGCGCCCCAACTTCTGACAATCCTCAATGAAGTGGTAGCCTATTTTCTTGCGCTTGTGGAGTATGAGGCAGTTCTTACTCCGGCTCATCCGGAAAAAATGGTTGAAGAGCTTGAAGGTAGGCTCGATGCTCAGCTGTCGACACTTAAGACGAAATAAAATGGAGTATAGTATGACCGCTGGAGAGAGGCGCCCCAGCGAACACCGGCACGAATCAAGGACCCCTTCAAGGATGGGATCGAGGGGAAAGCGCAGCCCGAATCTAAGGTACTCATTGGTAAACCCCTACCCAACCGTCGCCACAGGCGCCTATCCGAGCTGCTCGAGGCGCATGGGAATATTGCCAAGGCGCAGGCATCTGAGCGGCTACCAGCAATTTCTCGAGGCGCACACGTACGAGCTTTGACGGGTGCTTCGGGCCCACCGATTCCAAGGGCAACCCGGCCACGTCGTCGGGCGCTTGCCCCGAGGCCCAAGTCGATTCCCACGAACGAAACGCATAGCTTTGCGATGCGTCAGGGCCTGGGGCAAGGGGGCAAAGACAGGATTAGGCGAAGAAAACGAGGGGGAACAGACCACACGAGGCGCACTTAATGGAGGGCTCAAAGGGATTAGGCGCGCGACAAGTAAGAAGGAAGGCGCATAGGAGCAGGCTAACGGATTGGACGCAAAAAAAAAAAAAAAAAAAAAAAAAGGCGCATTAGGGGCAGATGTCTTACGTCGTGGTGCGGCGGCCGAAGTGGAGGGGGCGCCTGAGCGCGAGGAAGCAGGAGCGCCGGAGGAGGGCGCAGAGCGCGAAGCCGAAGGTTGCTGAGAAGAGGCCATTGATGGGAGCGCAAGTCAAGGCGCGAGAGCAACTAAGGAAGGCGCACGGGAGGGCGAACGGCCGTTTCTAGTGAGAGAAAGAAGAGAGAAGTCAGAGCTTTCTGAGGGGAAGTGAAGAAGAAGTGAGGGGGAGGAGGAGAATATATAGTGTGGAGCGGGAAGCTCAAGAGTCCCAGTGTTAGCCCGTTTCGAATTCCGAATTTCGAAATTCAAAATCCAAAACGGCCTAGGGGGAGATAGGGGGAAGCTCAAGAGTCTCACAGAGTAGGGGAAGCCCAGGGGTCTCATGATGGGATAGGGGAGAAGTCCAAAGGTCCTGGAGGGAAGAGGGTGGATCCCGAGGATACCTTGATAACATTCGAAGTGCGAGAACTGGAGGGTCCGCAACATTGGAGAGGATCGATGAATCGCAATCGGCGAAGCCCGGGGGCAAGGCGCGCAGAAAGCTAACAGGTCGCCACGTGGCCGGGGGCAAGGCGTGCAAAAAGCTAACAAGGCGCCGTGTGGTTAGGGCAGATAGCAAGGGGAAGAACCAGGGAACCACGGAGGCAAGGGTCTGGGAGCAAGGCGCACGGGGGCAAACAGGGCGTCTCGAAGCGGAGGCGGACGCAATGAGTTCAAAGCGCCTGGAAAAAGCCCACGCCTAAGGAGCACCATGTTCCAGCTAGGCGCCTTGGAAGAAGCCTCAGGCGCCTAGCTGAGGGGGCAATTGTTGGGGATGTATACATGGCCCATGTGGGTTGAACCAATAGGGCTCAAGAGTAGAGTTTGGGAGGCTGAGGAATTGGGCCCGGCCCAATGGGCCCAGGGACAGAGGGAAAGTCGGCCCAGAGACAGGGAAAAGCTGCCCCAGACGGGTGGGGCCGCAAACCTGACACGAGGCGCGTGCGACAAGTGGGCACCGGGGAGTCCCAGTGTACGGGTCGGAGGACTGGCTGACGTCATGCGCCTGACCCTTCTGAACGGAGTGTCAGATGGTCGAGGCGCATGGGCGCTAGGCCGTACGGAGCATTAATTGCGGGTCTGGCAAGGGGCGAAAGGGAAGGATGTTGGTCGGCCGGGCTTCGGGTATAAATAGTCGGTTGGTGAACTTCATTTACTCAGGTTGGTGCTTCTCTCTAAAAATTACTATTCACTTCTCTCTCTAGAAAAGGAAACTGACTTGGGCGTTGGAGTGCTAACGAGTCCTCTCCGGGACTCAGGTTAGTAGTGCAGCGTGTAGGTCCGAGCGTGCGGGAAGGATCAAGCGCGAGGGTTCGGGGCGCCTAGTTACCGGGCTCGAACAAATATAGTTATAGAAAATATTTGTATAATCTAGGAACGTTGGTTTTCGGAAGAATTATCCAGAGTTATGTTTCTAAACTCTTGAGCACTCATGCATCCGAGGAACCCATTGCAGCGGCCACTACAGAAAAGGTGGTCGTTTGTGACCACGTCACAAAAGTTTCATTCACATTGCAGTGTCTGTCTGTTGATTAACATAAGTGTCTGTCTTTAGCAATTAATTATGCCTTTTTCCTCCCACCATGTCTCAAGTACACCATGATTACTTGACTCTGCGTGTTTTAACATATGGCCAGTGAGCCACAAATTATATCCATCATATTAAACCGGTTGCTAGCCTTTGCCTGCAAGTCTCCAATGGAGACCATATTTGAATTACGGGCATTCGTTCAGAACATACCATATATACGGTCTACGGTCTAGATCAAGAGACTGAAGTATAGCCCAAAGATCAGAACACGCTTTTGTGGTCTAATCCGGTCTGATTTAGATAGACCACATTGAACGAAAAAAGAAAATTTTGTTTAGTCAACCACGTGGAAGATTGAACAAATAACCGAGAAAAAATGTTGGTGTTTGCCTTAAAACATGCATTCCTACATGCATGAATAAACACCCTAAATCTTAGTAAATACAAAGAGAGAAATTCAAAACATCCTAACTTGCACCATATCATCATAAACATTAACATAATGTCATATAGAGACTAGCAACCGGTTCGTTGGGGAAGTTGAGAGAGTGGTTGAGTGGATTGCTTACACGTATTGGGAAGTCGACTGGGTCTACGGTTTGGTTCGATAAACCGTATTCTGGACCAGACTAGACCAAAAGATCAAAACATCATATAATACTGGCCATGGACCAAACCAGACCATTCTTAACAGACTATGGTCCAGATCAAACTGTGCGGTCCAGTTTGGTCCAAGATTTTTCAGGCGGTTTGGTCTATTTTCCCAGCCCTTCTAGTAAATTAGCCACGCATTCAATTACCTAATGTGCTTCATGTTAATAATATATGTCATAATATTGTTTCGATTGGCCAACTCATTGACGAGAATTGCTCGATTTTATTCGCACCATCTGAAAATTTTGTGCAAGATCTGACGATGGGGAGGCCGATCGTAAGAGGGAGTAAGCCTGGTCATACTTTTACATTGGAGGAGCTTTTGTGTCAATCAGGATCGTTAACTATCGAGTCATCGTCCAGCTGTCATGTGTCTAATGTGTTGTGTTCTCAAAGCGTCTCTCCTCTTGTGGTTTTCTTAGCAAGTCTGATAGTCATTGCATCTTTGACATTGTCACTTAGTTCATACTAATTACAGTTGCTTATGCTCTATGTTCAAACAACAATTACTTGGTACACACTATCGTGTCGTTACAAATTAAAAAAATATTGTATACCATTTTGTACCAAGTATAAAAAGTTCAAAATTTGTGACTTTCGCATGTTTTTTCCTCGTTTCCCACATTTTCCAACATAACAATACTAAAGTACTAAACCGGGTGTAAGTTTTGGGCTCAACTCGCGTTTCGTTTCAGTGGCTGCAGGATCCCTAGCCGCCAAGCAAGAGCCCAAGACCCTATTGTCTTCTCCAAATCACCAGAGGATTTTCTCCCGAGGGACTCCGGCGACGAATTCCGGCCGACAACCACCCGCCACCCTCCTCCGAAAATCCTCTCACCGCCTCGGACTTTTCTCGGGCCAGTTGTTTAGTTCGGATTTCAGCAAGTTCTGTTCTGAGTTCCCCACTGTTTCTTTTTTCTTCTTTTCCCATCAATTTCTGTGGTTTAAGGTAAGAGCTCTAGTTCGGTTGCGTCGATTGGAAATAAATTTCAGGTCAAGGTTCGAACTTTTGAGTTTTCTGAAGATTAGGGTTTGAATTGCTTAGATTAGACTTACATCGCCAATGGACGGTGAGGAGGTGCCGGCTTACCAGCCTGACGTCGGATTCGAACAAGATACAAGAGAGCCACTTTTTGATCTTACCACTGCTCGCTCTAGTTCAACAGAGCTTTGGCTTATCCAATGGCCGCCCCACGACGTACGTTTCCCTCTTCTTCTCCTATTTTCCGCCCGTCCTTTCTTGCTTCAGTCTATACGTGTAACTTGCAGTTTTCTCGTGTATATATATTGTAGCTTCCTGATATCCACGGCAAGGAAGTATGCATTAATTTTGATCACAATGGTAGCTCGGGAAGTTTCGAGGATCTATCAGGTTTTCCATCCATCCTTTGGACTATATACTCTATCAGCTCTGCCTCCCAAACTATAGGGTTCCAATGTTCAAGTTGCTGTCTTTGGCAGGGAAAATGTATGATATAGTCGGCACTGATGTAGAGCGAGATGCAGCAGTCTTCATGTCCTCTGGTTCAGAGACCGAGATCGGTAAGCCTTCCTTTTGTTCACTTTCTTTGACATTTATTGAAGCAATGCTTTATCTGGCTATGCGCGATGGGATTTAGACAACTGTTTGTGTTCGCCTTTGGAAATTGTATGGTCCTCTAATCCTTGTTAGGTAACTGGCTGGTTGGTACAGTTTAGTGTAGCATATCTCTGGGAAAGAGTAGAGAGTAGGGTTCAGAATGGCTGAGTAATACGCCATGCCCTCTTTGTGACTGGAAAATTGTCACCGCTTAGTAGTCAATCAAGGTTATAAGGACATAAGATCTGCTAGCTATTATTTCTCTTTGGCGGTTTGTTTTCGTGCTATCCTTCTTTGTTGAGATATCAGATATGGCAGCTCCTATTAAAATTATCATGTTATTTGATGAGCAAGGCAAATAATAGGGGAACTAGAGAGTACGAGATGGCGAGGGAGAAGCTTATTTATTTCCAGTGATATGCACCTTTCGGTGGTTCATTGCGAGCTTGGAGAAACAATATCTCAGCTTGTATCTACAGAAACCTTATTGCCGAAGTTATCACTATTTAAGGTTGTCACCAAGCTGCCCCCGAGCATAAAGAAACCTATTATCTGTAAGCTTTGGTTTGAAGCGTTTCTCCTTATATGATGTCATTTAATTGATTGAACAGTTGGGAATATTTCTCACCGAGTATCCCTGGTGCACTTTCCCGACCCAAAGGAAATCGAGGAGAGAGTTGCCGAGAAGAAGTCAAAAAGGCTGTATCAGATGACTTCATCGAAGATAAATTCTTCACACCATTCCTCAGGTGTTACAGAAAGTAGTAGGCTGAAGCACTCAACTTCATCAAGGGGACCTGCAGCCTCAACTCATACAGGCAGGGAAGGACTGAGCGCTTCTAAGAGAAGGCACGTTCAGAAGAGCCCTGGATCAAAAGGTGGATCTTCTGACTCCAAACGACGTCAGAGTTCTTCGAACTACATTTCCGGGACTTCAGAACACTGAAGCTAAATTGTTGGAGGTAAGAAAACGGAGATTTATGCAATGCTCTTGTTCATTTCCGAAGCATGAAGAGAAGTGATGAGCATTTTGTTTGTTATTGGTGATGTACGTTAGTCGAGAGATTTAGGAAGCAAGATCTTTTATGGATGATGATTCTTCTTTTGGTAGTGATGAATGCATTGTACTTTCTGCACTTGGATAATTTCTTATCTTAAGCTACTCAAACAAACTCATGCACGAAATGACATCAGGATTCAAATGCGAAGAATATGCGACCTGCAACCCAAACATTATCACTTCAATTGTTAGATCAGCCTCTACGATGGCCATTTGTATATATGCGAGTGATCAAGAGTGGATGACACATTGCTGATTTGCACATGCAGTTTACCGTCATCGAGAAAGGCTAGCTGGTAGTAGGCTAGTAACAGCATTTTGGATGTGCAGTTTTCAAGCTCCGACAAACGATGAACAAGATCTTGCGTTTGATGCATCCTCGTGGAGGTGGAATGATTACCACACTAGTCTTCCCCCGGTCACCGTTGATATTGCTTGCAAACACTGTGGCTGCCAGCGAATTAGGATGTTTAACAACTGTCGTCTGCTGCCGATCCATGATTTCTGCACTAATCTGTGCTCCCTCACTGATTGTTAAATGATCGAACGAGGAAGCATTCAATAGTATATACAGGTTGTAGACTGTATCTCAGATGCTTGGTTATATAGTTATTTCAGGTGGTAAAGGAGAAATCTTCAAGAGTACGAAATTGAAATGGTTTGTACGTGGCGCCATGGAAGGAACCTTCCTGTTGTGCCCTTTGTATAGCAAGTTTTCTTGCTACAGTTGGGCCATGAGCAGCGGCTGCGTGCATGCTGAAGGCATTTGTAATTGGACAAAGGAAGCTTCTCCCAGCATTTGATCCCACTCATTGATGAGTGAAATAAAAGCAAAGATCCCAACCACCTATGTAGACAACGAAGTCGCACTAAGCTCTTCTCAAATTGCTGAGTAATTCGATCATTGAGTGAAACTGAAACCACCTCATTCCTAGTTTGTTGAATGAGTGGAAAGAAAACATCATTCAGCCTAGACTACATCAAAAGCATATGCCAGGAGCAGCTGATTATCGTCGGTTGTTCACCGAACATACACATGCATGTACAAGAAAAGACTAGCAGAGTTCAGTCTGGGTTTATATCTTGTAAATTGTAATCACCAGAAAGCAACAGCGAGACGTTATCAATTTGTTAACAAAATGAACAAGTTTACTCGAAGTGTTTCTCCTTTGTTTTTGGCATCTCTAGCTTTCACAGTAAATGAACTTGGTTTACAAAAGAATGATCAGATCGTTATTCCGCCGCAAGGCTTGTCGCACTCTGATACAAAGGGGATAACAGTATCAATTCTCTAGAGTGATATATCTGCAATTTGAGTTTCGGTGCAGGCTGTGCAGCAGCTGCTCAGAGCAAGAATGCAAACAATGTCTGGAAAATGGACCTTGCACGTGGGCGTTTCCTCGGACTGCCTTTGTGTTCGGCTAAAAGGCCTCTGTACTTAACTCCCTGTCTCCCCTGATAAGAGCAATTGAAGTTATCAACATAAGGAGTAACAAAAACTAGGCAGCAGTTGATCGTTCTTTTTGGCATAACACAGAATCAAAATCGGTTCAGTTTTTCAATGCAAGTCTAAATCTTAACCTGAGCAGCATCCTTGAGGGATCCCCAACATTCCATTCTATTGTACTTTGGTGAGCTAGAATGGAAATAAACCCAAACTAAAGCATCCTTTAGCTCCGGATTCGCCTGAAAGAGCTCTGCATCACCATATAACAAAGCTTGGAGTACCTGCCATTCACATATGCGAAACAGATACTCATTAAAAGCTGAATCAGCCATAAAACATGGTGCGCAGACTCATTATACATTTCGAACATCCCTAAAAGCACAAGGCATTGTACATTGTCACAAAGTCATGGTAGCAGTAGCTGGAGGAGTTCTTTGAACTAGCAAAAGCTCGACTCTTGGAATGAATAACTCAGGATGCAGAGACAAACTCACCAGAGGCATTTCTTTGGAGAAAATGTGATATCTAAGCTCAGCTGCAAGGTCGAATGTGAGATTTGGACCGCTGACATAACAGTGAATGTGCAGGCACAACTGCCCTTCCAATTTCTTCCATTCAGCAACCACATCATCCTTGCTATACCATCCACTTAGCTGCCCTTACAAAAACACGAGTGACTTCAGCATATAAAATTCATCATCCTAAAGCTCAAAAGTTGCAGCAAAAGCGTTCATTCACTAGAGAAGAAGAACCCTATTTCAGTTACCTGGTCCAAGTTGATGACACTGGAAATCGTCAATGTTAAGTTTGCAGTGAAGTCACAGTGAGACAGAATGTAAGTTCTAGGGATGATTCTCGAGTAGCCATTCTCCCTTCCTACCAGCACCACTTTGAGCTTTGAAGCATCGAATCTTGCTGACGGACCCAGAAGCCTGACTGCCTGGCAACACACCCAATCCGGCAGTTAGCAAGTTTACCCTAAGAAAAGCTTCGAGCTTTAAGGAAACCCAGATGCCAAATTTTGACATCGACGAGCGAAATTCAGAAGAATTGGCTTGGCTTACACAAAATGGACCCAGAAACAAGATGAACCAGAAAGCCGAAAAAGTACCTCTGAGACGAGGCCGTTGTACGAAGATCTGGAGGAGTCGGCGTTAGTGGAGGACAAAGCGAGTGGGAAGAATCTCAATTTACGAATCCTGAAGGGACTAGGACTGTCATTGTTGTGATTGGTGAGGAATGAAGAAGAGGGCGGAGAAGGAGCAAAGAAGGCAGAATGACATGCCATGAGAGAGGCATAACAAGCTCTGGCCCGTAGTCTTCTTCATCTTTTGCTCCTCATCGTCATAATCATTGTTCCTTCTTTTTCTTCTTCTTGTTCGTTTTCTGACCACAAAGCTTTGCAGTTCCAAATGGATTTTTGTTGAAACAAAGGGAAATGGGAAATAGAAGTATGTGGTGAACAGAGGTCGACGGTGGCTGTGGGAAGGCCTGTGGTGGGACTCTGCTGTGGTGAGAGCCCACATCTTCAAAATCTTATTCAACCTGTTTCCACCATATAATTGTTCTTCAATAAAACCGGGGGAAAAACTTAAACTGTTCCCAGAATTTCATAAAATAATCACAACAATAGTAACTAAGAGCCACATCTGGACTGGAGTACTTCATAGTTAATAGTAATAATAATATGGTTAAACCAAAATTGTTATGGTGAGTCAGAATTAAATAAACGCTTATTAAAGAAAAACATATGAAAGTACTTATCGATAATAACGTATGTGAGTAAGAAGAGAAGGAAGATGTTAGAGATCTTCACTCTTAGAGATTTAATTTTGGAACCTGTATTTTTTTTTAAGGGAACTAAGTACTTGTTCTAATAGCCTAAATACAACTAGTTGCAATGTTGAATGTACATACTACATAGCCATATGAAATGAGAGATCTATTTATAAAGAGCAAAGTCTCGAAATTCTTCTTATTAGCATGACCAATTATAAATGGGTTATGCTTACCATGTATACCCACAAAAATCTGGGTTTTAATTAAAATAATTCTATATCTGACAAAAGAGATGCAATATTGATGGTTTTGATAAAATGTGACAGGAAGGAGTTTGGATTTGTATTTTGAGATGGAAACTTTTGTATTCGCTCTGGGCCAAAGCTTGTAGTCGCGTATGTGGTTTTGTATCTTTTTTAAAAAAAGTGTACTAATGCAGGTAGGTGACACTTCTATACATGAAACTTTTCGCTTATTTTTTTCAATGTAATATTTGGATAGCAGACCAACAATTATTTTTATAACGTGGAAATAAATATAATTAAAAATCTTGATGTTGTTATGATGATCAAAATGATGAACATGAGATTATGCACCTGCAATTGAGAGTGTACTATTGACGTGAGTCCATGATATTATACGAGCACATGCAAAATTAGATGAAAAAATTAGGTATAAATACTCGAATTAATTTAACAGGTTTGTTAGTCTCAAACTTATCATAAAAATAAGGGGAAAGTATGGTTTGATATTATATATTATCTTTTGTAAAAAAAAAGGTTTGATATTATAAGAAATATCATAATCTGATTAAAACCAATAAGCTGAAGACAAGACACAATGTTTACGTGGTTTTCCCGTTCGACGTTTGCATTAAACGAGACTAGTTCACGGAGAGCAGGGCTCTCGAGTTCTTTTATGATGATGGTGATGATAGTATTAGCTAGCTGCTGCTATGCTATCTCAGCCTTGTATAGCCACTCTCCCCTTTACATAAGACAACTAGGATTCGAGTATAAGGCTTAGGCGTAAACACACAATTACAAATCAATCATTAACTTGACAAAGATAACAAGGGACACGCACAACACACGTGCATATGCATTGTGATAATCATGCTGCATTACATATTGCAGCTAATCCAGTTTTCCATGAACGTACTAAACACGTGGAGATGGATTGCTATTTTGTTCATGAAAGAGTCACTTCATCTGAGATTGAGCCGCGACAAGATTCCCACACAGGTCGCCGACATTTTTACGAAGGGTCTTGGAGCAGATCAGTTTACTTACTTAGCTTCCAACCTTGGCCTTCACAACATTCACGCCTAACCTTGAGGGGGAGTATTATGCAGCAACGAGAGTGCATGGTCATGCATGTGTGTTGTGCATGTCCCATTTGTTATCTTTGGCAAGTTAAGGATTGATTTGTAGTTGTGTGTTTAAGCCTAAGCCTTATACTCGAACCCTAGTTGTCTTATGTAAAGGGGAGAGTGGCTATATAAGGCTGAGCTAGCATAGCGGCAGCTACCTAAGACTATTATCATCATCATAATAAAAGAACATGTGTGTTGTGCGTGTCCCATTTTCTTATCTAGATCAGAGAGGCTGGGTTTTTGGGTTCCAAAAGACCCTAGGAGGTGCTCTAGAGGAAGAGGAATGTTGTGATCCCTATGGACATGCATTATTATTATAGGGATCATTTTGTAATTTATTATTTTTACTTTTTCCCACTCCAGCTGAACGTGTGTAGAGGAGTAGGGTTTTGGTACCTCCTCTGTACAAATAGGGTTCTAGCTGCTGCGGCTAGCCCTAAGCACCAGAAAACAATAATAAGAAATCTCTGAGAGCGAGCAGCTTTCCGTGGACTAGTCCCGTTCATGTCGAACGGGGAAACCACGTAAATCTTGGTCTCGTGTCCTTTATTCTTCCCGCATTCGTCGTATTTTACATGGTATAGAGCTGTGAGTAGATCCACAGCGTTCAATCATGAGTTCAGATGATGAAGCTAGCAAATCTACCCAAACCGGTAAAAGTCCTCAATCATCGACGACTACGGGACTCAATTCCCAGGTTATGTTGTCGTCGCACCTTCTCCTCCATCCGTCGGATAGCCCGAGTAACCTCTTTGTTGGTGAGCTGCGTTCCGATGCCAATTATGGAGAATGGGTCGTGGAGATTACCGATTCACTTATTGCTAAAAATAAGATGTGCTTTGTGGATGGGAGTTTGCCTCCTGCCAATTCCCCGGCCGAAAAGGAAGCTCTTCTTCGTTGCAACGCTATGGTGAAAGGGTGGTTGAAGACTTCGATGACCAAAGATGTTCGTAGTAGCGTCCGGTTCGCGTCGACTGCACGTGAGATTTGGATTGACCTCCAATCCCGATTTGGCCAAGGCAGCGCCGCCAGGCTCTATGAGCTCAAGTGCACGATCGTCCGATTGCAACAAGAGAAGGCCTCGGTTTCCTCGTTCTACACCAAGTTGAGAGGTTTGTGGGATGAGATCCAATCTCTTACTCCTTCATTGGCTTGTACTTGTTCAGGCTGTACATGTGATGTCCAGCGGCGACAGAGAGACGTCCGTGAAGGCGAGCAATTGTTTGACTTTTTAATGGGATTAGATGACGTGTTCTCCACCGTCAAATCCCAAATATTGGTCATGCGGCCAACCCCCACTTTAGCTGAGGCATATCAGCTTGTTACCCATGATGAACAGCAGCGTATCATCTTGTACAGTCGGTGTCCGCGTCCCGAAGCTGTCATTTTCCAAGCCCATGGTGAAAAGAAGCTGGATAGGCCTTCCCTCCTTGCTGAACCTGACCGAGACAAGGATAGGGATGCTGATGGAAAGCCCAAGTGCACTCATTGTAAGCGCACAGGCCATTTTAGGGAAACATGTTATAGGTTGATTGGTTTTCCTCCCAAGAATGGTGACAAAGGGGACTCATCAGCTCGTAGGCGTGCAGATCGGGGAGCTCGTTCATCCCCCCAAGCTGCCCAAGTCGATGCCGCCGACAGCCCATTACCTGGACTTTCAGCTCGTCAATTTGATCAACTTAAGGCTCTCCTTGCTGGCGATCTATTACATCATTCACAGGGTTCGGCCGAACCATCGTCCAATATGGCAGGTACATACTCTCCCAGTTCTACTTCTTGGGTTATTGATTTGGGATGTAACGAACACATCGTTAACCATGCTTCTTTATTGGATTCGGAGTTGGATTCGAGTCCGGCTCTCCAGGTTAAAATTCCCAATGGTACAGGTGTTTCTGTTCGCAGTATTGGGACAGCTAAACTTTCTGATGATCTGTTATTGCGTCGTGTGCTTCATGTTCCTGATTTTCAATGCAACTTACTGTCGGTCAGTCGGTTGACAGCTGATCTGCCGGTTGCATTAATATTTATGGGTGACTTATGTGTGATCCAGGACCTACCATCCAAGAGGCTGATTGGGATGGGTAAGCACGTCGATGGGTTGTACTTCCTGAGGTTATTCACGCACGAGCACCCAATTGCACACTCAGTTCGTCGATCTCTGGATAGTACTGATCTGTGGCACTCACGTCTTGGCCATCCTTCTACTGCTAAGCTGCATTCTTTGGAGACTTTGCTGCATTGTTCTTTTGTTCACGATAAAGAGCCCTGTCGATCCTGTTTACGGGCCAAGCAAACTCGGAATTCTTTTGAGACTAGCACTATTAAGACTAAATCGATTTTTGATCTTATCCACATTGACATTTGGGGGAGTTATAAGACGGCGTCCATATCAGGAGCGCATTATTTTTTAACAATTGTGGATGACTTTAGTCGTGCTGTTTGGGTTTTCTTGTTACATTTTAGGTGATGCTAGTCACGTTGTAACCTAAAGATTCTCGGTGAATACAATTGACTCATTAATACTTCTAACAACATCACTTGGCCAAATTCCCTTCACGATAGTGTTGTAGTAAAAGCGAGTCAAGGGCCATACATCACTTGGCCAAATTCCCTTCACGATGGAAATTCCTTTAATTATCGATAAGATCACCCCAACCAACCATTTGCGAGTATGCTTCTCACCATCAGAATATCGCCCTTCCATTTGCGAGTACTTGCGACTTGTGCTCCTTTTCTCACCCAACCATTACAACGACAATCGAATTGCTTCCAAGCTTCCCATATGCTACCTTGAATTTTCTTCTATCCTCAAAAGTCAACGAATCACATATGTACTTACCACCAGGCAGCAGAAAAGTCGGCTACTTCTTCTTTTCCCTTTTTCTTAGGATCGTTAGGATGAAGTATTTCATTGAGTTATTTAGACACAATATAGTTCGATTGACATCATTTTACTAAAATGAGTTATTTGGCAGTGATTAATTTATAAATAACTCAAAATGAGTTATTTGAAATTACTCATACCCCTGTGTTATTTCTAAATAACTCGTTTTACCACTATGAGTTTGCCAAAAACCAGATTCGAAATACCATATTGGCATGATTCTACCAAACAAGATACTTTAATCTAATTACCACTAAAAAACACCGAAATACCACATGAACAATTAATGAGTTATTTGACTCTATAAATACCACATTGACAATTAATCCATCCAAACAACCATTTTAGCGATGTTGCGGTTTTGGAAATTCCCTCATGATTGGCAGCAGGGGGGCCCCCCCGAGAATCTTGAAAGTTACGTGTAAATGAGTCGGGATAATACGTATAATCTAGACATAGAGTATATATTTACAACAGTGCGAAATGGTATCAAGGATTTCAACTTAGTCTAGT